AGTGTTCTCTCTTTGTACCCTTCTACCTTCACGCTCTTGGTGTGTGTGTGTTCTGTGAGTGAGCATGATGGGAAATGGTTCACCAGAGAATTATTTTGCATTTATCCATATATGTTTAAAACAGACCAATAAATACATGAAGCTTTTGGGTAATTACTAAAATGTATTTTAAAAAAGTTGTAATGATTGGTCAAAATTGCAAGACTGAACAATAACAGGGACTAAATAAATTGGTTTTAAAAATGATAATCACAACATTGTGACTTTCTGAAGGGACTGAAAAACCATTTGACTTTTAAAAACAAAAGGTAACAAAATACAGTCTGACATCATCAACTATACCCCCAACTATACATGGTGTATTAGCACACACAGTACTGGTAGCACTCTTATCCATAAAGATATGACAAGTTTCGAAGCAACTTATGTTGCTATCTGCTGCACACGGTTTACGTGTGCAACTTTTTTATTGTGCGCTTTGCAAAAAGAGCCAATTTGTAGCTTTTTGTTGTTCTATTTGGAAAAAACTAAAACAATAAATAGATAAAAACAGTGAATGGTTCATATTTAAGTTCTGAAGCTGAAAGTGATGAGCTAAGATCACCATTGACGCTCATCACCATCACTCATAATTCTGATTTGGAGAAGCAGTAAGAACATGCTGGGCATCCTGAGCTTCACTGTAATTCTAGTAATCAGTCAGCAGTGAAAAAGGTAAATGCTGCCAAAGTAAACAATGCCTTGGATCAAGGAAGAAAAAAAAAACACACACAACGGTCTGTCATCAGTTCTGGTGTTTCGACTGTTTGTTGTGGCTGAGTGAATCGAAACAAGATACCATGTTCCTCATCGTACAGTCAGTACTACTAATAATCAGGCCTTGATGATTTGATCTTTAAATACAACTCATCAGGCTTTTTTTCCAGTAACTCAGGTTTTATACCATATAAAGGGGCGCATGGTTTGGATTCTGTTTAGGTTTGACATCCAGCTCAATGTCTCTCTCTGCTTATTGAATTTAAATAATCCCCTCCATAATTCTGTCCGTGTCATCTCTGGAAGCCCAGCGGAGTCATAAATCAGAGCCACTCTCTCCTGGTCGGCAGACATCTTTATGGCTCGCCACATTGTGCCGCTACTGTCAGCAGGTTGTAAAGATTAGTTTATCATTGTTCATCAATTATGGAAAAGGGCAGTCAGGACAAGGATTTAACGTTGACTGTTTGAAGTTTGTTGTATTTCATTCACTCTGAAAACTTTTGTTTGTCCTTTTCGTTAGCTCGCCACTCAGACAACCCTCGTCGACGGCCAAAGTATGTCTGGTTTGTGGGGACGAGGCATCAGGGTGTCACTACGGCGTCGTGACGTGTGGAAGCTGCAAGGTCTTCTTCAAAAGAGCTGTGGAAGGTAACGTATTGTGTCACGTTCAACATGTCGCTGTCACCTTGGACTTCCTGTCAACAAAAAGTGCTTTACACAACAGGGTGGGTGGGCAGGAAACAAGCAAATTAAGAAAACTTCACCAGCCTTCTGAATGCTGTACTTATTTAATAAAACACCAAGTTACATCATACACTCACCAACGCTTCTTGTTTCTGACAGTTGTACAAATTATAGTAAAGCATTTAGTATTAAAAAGATGTTGATAAATCACCTCAGACTTTTTAATCTAAGTTTGTGCCATTTTATTTTCACAGGGCTGGGTTTTTGTTTTGTTCTCTTAAATAGTCTGTAAGTTTTCTTTTTCCTTTCTAATCAATACGCATCTGTTGAAAAATCATAAAACTTGTCTTACAGTGAGATACAACATGAAAAAATTATGTTGTTACACTTTCGCACAGCGGTTTGCTTGTCCCTGTTAATCAGGAGTATCCATGTGGTGGGATGACAGTGGTCCATGTTATTTTAGTGAGTCTGTGATTTTAAAGTTTCAATTCTTTTAAGTGGAGTTCTGTGGAAAAGTTATGAATATGTGTTCAACCCACTCAGTTTAAGAAAAAAATAATAACTTTGGCCAATCTGACATGGCTAGTCTAAACAAGACCAACATGAGTCACTGCTATCTTAAAACAACTCCAGGTTTAGTCATTCTGTCAAAAATATTAAAATCCTACTCTCGGAAGTCCTTTAGGCTGTGCTTGAAGTGCTACAGCTAGTTGCTGCTGCTGATGTTTGCACTTGTATTTAACCATAGAATTCAACATGTTTAACAGTAAAATGCAAAACTGACAATGATATAAAGGTTTTTAAAACAGGGTTTGCATTATTTGTGAAGCATATATTTACATTGTAGCTCTTTAACTATTAAAAACAATGGGCCTCATGCAAGAACCGTTCGTACGCACAGGTTTGTTCTTAAGTTGTGCGTACGAGTTATTTAGGAGAATTTGTGGCATTCACCAATGTTTTCGTATCCTAAGATTTTTTTCAGATACGAACAAAATTTGCGAGTGGTCCAGACCTGTCGTATATTTTACAAGCAGCCAGTCTGCTGTTATCC